CTGTGCTCTTACCAAGCTTATATGAGAAGCTCTGTCTTTTCTTGCTTTTTATTTTGTAGTTGTGACCTTGTAATTCAAAAGTTTTTCGAATAAATCCGAATTGTCGGATAATTTACCGGCGAGCGTTTTTCAGATTTTATTTGATTTATCCGAAAAAAACGGAACCCTAGTTATAACTAGGGTGTGCATTTTGCGGTTTTAACCGAAAAACATTGATAAACATCCGTCGGTGACGAAAACATAAAATCGGTTAAAACCGAAAAACACCGGTGGTTGGATATTTTCGCCCTGGTTAAAACCGAAAAACACCGGTCGTTGCTAGTTTCCGACCTAGCGAAACTCTTTCCCCGTAGAGGTTCGTCAAACGTGCTATCTCGTGGATCCTGCATTCTTCCAGTGTTTATACATAGCTTGCAGGTGGCGTCAGTCCGCCCTCCTTTCTGGGGGTCAAAAGCGTCTGGTGAACGCAGTGGAAGCTAAGCTCTCATACGCCTTTCCCCTATTGTGTCTCCCATGGCCCCCTTTTGTGGAAAAATTAACACAGTGGAGGCTAGGCTCTCACGTGCCTTTTCCACATTGTGTCTGGCCAAGTGATGTCGGTGCAAGCCATGTATTCAGAGGTTGCTGTGGTTCCTGGAAGACACTGCCAACGTCCGTGTCGTACAGGAGCGTGCGTTTTCATAATTGCGGGTTGCGAACTGCAAGGAACGGGCTGCCATGACGGCAGCACGTTCCTTGCGTGTAGATGCAAGCATGAAAGTATGCTTGCATCTACTATAATAACCAAGTGTGAGAAATAGTTGCTTCCTAGAGAAGAAGTGTATGAACTATGTGAATAAAATTGGAACTCTCTGTCTGTGATCAATCGCTTTTTTTCACCGATAATCACCGTTTTTAGCCTCGTCGTGAGACGTTCCACCGAAATACACCGGTGTTTTGAAAAGAAATAAACACCGAAAAACATCCGCCGATTTTTCTCACAAATAAACACCGGAAAGTACACACCCTAGTTATAACCTTCATTTCCAGGGGAGTGGCGACGAGGTAACCGAGTAGGGCTTAGATTTCCGTTTCTTTACTACCGCTAGGGGATTCTTCGGGGATTGTAGCTTACTAGAGGCTTATGCGAAGAGGCCCAACTCACGTTCGGACAATAGAGTTTCTTCGCTTTCACACCGTCCATTCCAATGAATGACACAACCCTGTATCTCTACTCACTGCGCCATGAGCCAATAAGCAATTAGCCTAAGTTTAAAACGTGAAACTGGAAACATTAAGACAATAAATAACAACACCCTCCGTTTTTCTTTGTTTGTTTTTTTTAAGAGTGGCAATAATCGAGGCACGTCCATAGAAAGTGGGATACATTTTCGAACTAAAAAGCTTACGCAATATCTTGTGTAAAAATTTTTTTTTTTTATCTTCGCTGAACCCTGCATACCTCGATCGATCTTCGGATGCAGTCCTCTTCGTCGCTAAGGCATTCATTCGCCCTAGTATGGCACATGTTTTCCGATGCCCCATCAAAGTCAGCCGGCCAAGTCCATCGGCAACACGTTGAGCATCCACCGTGACGACAATGTGCACTGCACTGCAGTGTTTCGAGGTTGTATCGTATAGAGCAACGACTCGAAAACTTGAGATTCGTCTGTTGCGAGATAAGAAGAACTGCGTGCATGCGCGACTTGAGGGGGGCTCATGCACCAACGGAGGTCAATTGGTATGCCTTCTGAAGTCCCCTTGTACACGGCGGTTACCAAAACTTACAAGAGGTACCAACCAATGACGCCGAACAAGCAGTTCGTAACTATAAGCAAAAACTATATCGTAAACAAGATAAGAAAGTTCTTCCCCCTTCCTTAACACCGTCCTCTTTCGCTGGGACTAAATTCGTCTCTGATTTATCGGGAAAACAAACTAATTCGAAGCTGGAGAAAGACGCACGGAGCCAGTTTCACGCTCCGTCTCTAGTGTGCGTCGATTCGAGTGTGTTGACAACTGCTCAATCGGAGTCGAGTGGTTTACGGGCGGCGCTTGCGATACGAGGAGCGAACAAAAGGAATAGGAAGCATAGATCGTCTCCAACCGCTCCGACATTTGCCTATACGGAGCAATCCACTTATAACGATATCGCATGTAACGATGTACCGCTTATAAGGACCGGGTTCTAGAGGACCGTGCGTTTTTGGTATGTAAGTGTCCACATGCCAAGAAGGACGGACGGAAATCTGTTTATTACGATCGCATTTGCTGGGTTTCTTTTCATTATTGTTATAAGGTTAACTCCGAACGCAGTCGACTCAACGGTTCCAGCTGGAGTCAATCGAACGGTACCAAAAAAGGGCATCGGCGCTTTCATTGCCTTTGTGGGTCTGATATCGCCGGCTAAACCAAACACAAGCAGACAAATAAAACGCAGGATCGCTCGGTCTATTCACCGTGCCTGATTGGTTTAGTAGGTTATATGCGAAGCGCAAGTTCGTCTGCTTCTTTTGCAGGGGTTGTGGTGACGTCAGAAAGATACCGAGCTCTGATTGGCTCTGATCTGAAGGACAGTGAGTAGACCTCAAGGAAGCTAGCATTGAGGTCTACCCACTATCCTTCACTCAGAGCCAATCAGACTTCGGCGTTTTTCTGACATCATCGTGCAACTCCTGCAAAAGCAGCAGACGAACTTAAGCTTCGCATAGCAAACACACATAGGCGATGGGCGCCGTGACGATGCACATTTGGTGCTGCCTGATCGGCCCCATCGGATCGTGGCCTTGGCTGCGGTATACGACTTAAAGAAACGGAGACTATGCGGAGCGCAAGTTCATCTGCTTCTTGCACTGGGGTTGCGATGATGTCAGGACGCCAAGCTCTGATTGGCTGATTGAGAAAATAGTGGGTAGACCTCGAGGTACCTAGCATTGAGGTCTACCCACTATCAATCCAATCAAAGCCAATCAGAAGTCGGCGTCGTTCTGACGTCACCGCAAACCCTTTGCGCAAGAAGCAGACGACTTGCTCTCCGCATCGCTACTTCCAGATACTTTCTTCTTCGCTGCTCTACCGCTCGCGACTCGAAAACGCACCCACGGCCCTTGAGCATCCAATCCGAGCCGAAGGTGCCCACCATTAAATTGCAAAAAAACGCTCTCCGTAGTTTGAGTTGCGCGCTCTCTCTCTCTCATCTCTGTCCGTCTCGCCTCTTGTCTCTGCTTCCGCGTGCATCACGCGAAGGCCGCATACTTGCAGCGACCTGTTTGAAAAAAGAAAAACACCGGCCGTCTAGCAGACAGCCTGGTCTTTACCTCCGCGAACTTGAAGATGCACTGGTGCAATGTCAAGTATAAACATAATGGCCGCCTTGAGGCGGGAAGAATTAAACGCCAAGCCAGCAGGTTTTTCTTTTCTTTTCCGGCGTACCCTTTGAGACAAGAATTAGAGGACAATCGCGAGGAAGCGAAGGACAATTCCCTGCCCGTTAATCTTTGAGCGCAATTATCAAGGCGCCGGAGGCATCCCCTTGTGGCTCGTCTCATTGTTCATCGTCGTCGCGCGCGCGCGCGAAACGCGTGGAGTATTATAAACAATCAGGATGATGGAGCAATTACGAGGCCTTATAAGACGGCCGGGCTCCTGCCACTCCGGCGGCGATGCATATCGTAAACAAAACGACGGGCGTAATTTGAGGTCGGCCGCAGCAGCAACGCGGTGGTTTCTTGGTGTCCTCGAAGTGCCGTGAGAAGGTGAGGGCTGGGTGTTGATTGCTGCTAATGGTTCCCTCTGAGACTAGCGTCTTGCGGTTGGGAATCTGCTATGGGTTCCCTCAGATCCTTGTTAAGAAAGGTTGTCGGTGACACTTTAAGAGACGGAAGGGGCGGCGAGCCCCAGGTGTTGATTGCTGCTAATGGTTCTCGCTGAGACTAGCGTCTTACGGTTGGGAACCTGCTATGGGTTCCCTCAGATCCTTGTTAAGAAAGGTTGTCGGTGACACTTTAAGAGACGGAAGGGGCGGCGAGCCCGGGTGTTGATTACTGCTAATGGTTCTCGCTAAGACTAGCATCTTACGGTTGGGAATCTGCTATGGGTACCCCTAGTGTCTTGTTAAGAAAGGTTGTCGGCGACACTTTAAGAGACGCAAGGGGCGGCGAGCCCCCGGTGTTGATAGCGGCTAATGGTTCTCGCTGAGATTAGCGTCTTGCGGTTGGAAACCTGCTATGGGTTCCCTCAGATCTTTGTTAAGAAAGGTTGTCGGTGACACTTTCAGAGACGCAAGGGGCGGCGAGCCCCTGACATTTTATCACGCTGGGCAGCCAATGAGGTTGTGGCGATAGCCCATAAGAACGTCGAAGAAGAAATGACTAAGATCGGAGAAATGCGGAGAATTTGTCTCGTTAAACAGGTCATTTTAGACGACGTCTAAAAAAAATGACGTCTCGCGAGCCGGCATAAAAACAAACTTACTACACGCGACCCAAACGAAAAGTTATTTTTTGTTTAGGGCCCTAAACAAAAAGTTTAAATAAGGAATGTGAGAATATACTGCCTCGATGTACACGAAGGGAGGCCTATCCCAATATGCGACTTACGGTACTATGTTAGATACCATCGGCCATGCTCGAAACAAATTGAGAACTACTGCGCGCTCAGACTAAGTAGATTCGCAGTATACAAACGCGCAGTTATGGAGTTTTGCATCCAGACTCCCACTGGCTTAGGTATCTATCAAGAATTTGTGACAGGTCTTTTTGGTGCTCTGCGGAACTTCCCTGGTAGCGCTTAAACGTCAAAAAAAAAATGTTGAAAAGTGTAAAAAAAAGTAGACATCATCCAAATGTTTAAATGCTTAAGGTACGGCGTGAGCATGCAGACTGATAAGTGCATGGTAGCATTCAGTATATACACAACACTCACCGATCAAGGCCACAAACGTCTCGATGAAATAAAAAAACGTTTAAGCACACCATATGAACACTTTTGTCGGAAAAAGAAATTACACGCACTATATCGAGTTCTTGTCGTTAAAATAAGAAAACGCTTTATTTGATCCACGGAGCCATGGAGTCATGAAAATGGCACATATACCTTCGAAGTTCACACCCGAATAAAGCGTACACCAACTCATGAGTGTGTTTCGATAAGTACGTGTGTTCGCGCGCATGCGTGAATGCGGTGTACCTATGTACAAGAGTATTGTTGCAGGGCATCGTAGGAAACCGACAAACCCTTGAGTAGACATCGCGCGCACTTGATACTTAGCAGACGTACCGGTCACAAGTAGGAATCTAGCGAACTTTTTGTCGAAACTGAGGTTCGACCGGGTCGGCGAACTTTCCTACCTTTGGCGAAATTCGTCGTTATGTTAAATGTTAAATTCCTAAAAATAAAAAAAAAACTGTCTTGAAGTTTTAGAGAATACTTCAAATAATTTCAATATAATGTTTACGCAATATAAACGTCAATGTATAAAAATTTGATCATTTATTTAGTTCCACTTCTGCCAAACATATGTCGGAGTTCGAGTTGAAAGGTCGAAAAAGTCAAACCTGGACGAACTCGAACCTGGCAGATTCGCGACATCCCGGTGAACTGATATGGCCGATAATTCTGCGCCGCATCTTTAGTGCAATAAACAAGATATCTCGACACAAGGATGGAGTATACATGTCCATCAAGTTGCGCCCCAATTCTTTCGTCGTTTGACCATGTAGAGAGCCACCTTCTAACAGGAAACGAAGTTCGTGGTGAACACCTTCAGTGTTTCAGTGTACAACGACGCGAATCTGTCGGCCACAAGTCGCGAAAATAGGGTGATTTCATATCCGCACCTAAATTAATATTTTGTACACTCGATTTCTCACATTAGATGGGCGGGTCGAGAAAAGAGCTAATTAACTTGTTCAAATGCCACTCCGTTGAATAGTGGGAACGTAAGTTCTCGCGCAGCCATTTCTGATCTAATGTTCCGTCAATCGAGAAAGTTCGATTTCGATGTGCCTTTTTTTGTAGTTTCCAAGAAAAAAAAAAGGTTTGGCTTTAGTTAATACATTTCCCCCTTTAAACACCAAAGCAAAAAAGTAGTTTCCGTCGACATATTTCATTCTATAATTCACGTTCTGTTTAACAAAAATTAAGTATTTCCTGTCTGAAAAAAAAAAAATATAACTTTAGGAGATTATAAATGTTTCACCGACAAATATTGAATGACAAAGTCCTCTGTTCAATATATTCGCCTGTTCATAAGTCTGTACCATAAATATGGGTATCGGATTCATAAAGCTATCGTTGATTTTGACAACAAAGCAACTCCACGATCTTAAACATGTTTACAAGGAATTAATCCAAGATAAATTTATACAATTATATAACGAACAACCCTCGCGGCCACATGAATTCTTTCTTTTCTAATTATTTTGTTATATTAAGTGTCAATGGTGACAGGTTGTTTTATTGAGCTTTTGTTTTATCAAGGAAACAGCTTTAACCAGCTTAGCTTTTATGATTTCCATTGCCTAAATAATATTTTCGCTTTATTTTAATAAAAAAAATTAAGTCAAAGAGCTGATAATGAAAGAGCTGATTTTTATCGGCAATCTTGGAGAAAAATAATTTAGTCAGCATGTTTTCTTACTATTACTTACTATTATTTTTTACTATTATTACTTACTTCAAACAACAACCAATATTACTTAGATGAAATAAACAAAGTAATGAACCACCCTATAGAAGAAAAAGAAGAAATTTTACATGTATGATTTGTTCAGTAAACATATAAAAACTGTTCAGTTAGTAAGGTGCATATACGTTCTTATATGATTTTATATGTTCTCATAAGTGTAGTGGACACATTCATGATACTTTTGTGGTAGAAAATCAAGAAAAATGTTTGCAAACGTACTCAAGGTACACACGATTACTTCTAATTAGGAAGTGGGAATAGTGGTTGGAATCGAACTGCGCCGCGTCAGTCTTAGCCTCCACAGCGCTACGGAAACACATACCGGTTTTTCTGCAGTGCCGAAGCTAAGGAACGAAGCATGCGTTATTCGATTCGAAGCAGAATTCGCACACCCGTATACCTGTGAGTTGAAACGTGGTGGCGCCAGTGTGCAAGTGGCGCCCAACCACTTCCGGTTCTACCGGTTCCGGTTTCGCAGTATTTGCGAAATAAAATATACACGTTATCTTCTGAAACTGGAAACTTATAATATCACTGTCAGACGGAATTCACTCTTATGATAAAAGAATGATGAGTAAAAAATAAGGAAATGTACGTGAAGAGGAAGTGTGCCGGGCCTACCCAATAGATGGCACCACTGAGTTTGTCGCCAAACAAAAAAATAGGCGAATACTTGGTCTCAAAATAGGTTGAGTGCAGTCAAGGGTAGAGACACACAAACGCACAACGCACATATTAAAAAGCGCAATGTCAAGGCGCATCCACTGCACATGATTCGTTTATCCGATGATAGCAGACGTACAAAGAGACAACGATCGCCATGACGTTGCACTTTTGGCGCTGTCTGGTTGGCTCTTTCAGGTTGTGGTGTCGGCCGCGCTCGTACTTTATAGAGTGAAACAAAGTATAATACGTATTGTACAAGTGTGCAGCCATTGCCCACGCCCTACTGCTGCTTGAATGTAATCATCCGTACAGGGACTCGGAGAACATTTCGATTCCCAGCGTTCAAAAGAAATGGGCGCGCGACGGAACATTTTCGCGACTTATGAATTCAAAAAGTGCGCGGCGTCTGCATGCTATCTTTCAGAAGAAGAAGCCTCCGGCGTCTCCGGCTTCCGGAAACGGCGTCTCGGCGGCCTCGGGCACCGTCTCGGGCTTGAGGACGAAGTCGAAGTCGGGCTGGTTCCCGAAGGTCTGTCTGGTGTCCTTCTGCATCTGGTCCTGGAGGTCATCCAGGTCACCTTCGAAGAAACGCCGAATGGACAGAATTGCATTATCCGCAGAAACTGCGCAAGCCGTTCACAGAAGGGTGTTATTGCATTTCAAGTGTCGGCGTGGGTCGTGGCATTCCCTTAGTCGTTTCTTTTTTTTTTTTGTTAGGATACCGCGCGCTCTGTATGTCTCACTAGAGCTAAGGAGTTGCAACGTCCTTTAGGCTCAGGGTATGGTAGCAACCCTGTGAGCTTGCTAGAGGGTTGTTGCAGTCGTCGCTGCCGTTGAACTGTTGAGACCGAAAAAGAGCTAGACCATGCCTACGTGTATTTTTAGAATCCTTGTGCGGGGACAAGGCTCGCGTAGGCTGGGAAAAGGAAGGGAAGGTGAGAGTCATCTTGTGAAGCTGCAATTCAGTGGTTGCGGTGCTTTTTTTCTTGTGATGTTGCGCTCGGTCTCTTGAAAAGGGCAGGCACTTTTACGAATGATCATTGTCCTGCCTAGTTCAATCAATCAATGGCTTTCATTAGATTATGAGCATAGTATGGGGGGGGGGGGGGGTTACTGAAAGCCCACCTGGGGCCCATAGTCAATTTGGCCAGTTTGGGCCCATTTTAATTAAATACTACATTGACAGGCACTAATATTGACACTGAGAATACATAAAAAAGTTACGAAATGTTTTACTTTTTGTGTTGTTGTTGTTTTACGGAAATGACCATTATTGTTGGGGTTTCGCAACTGATCCCGTGTGTTTTTCGTATACGTACGTGGTGGCTCGCTAAATTCAGAGGAAAATACTTCGCTAAATTTAACGGAGAATCACAATCTCGTGAAATTGCGATTTGAAAGCGCTACTTGACGTCACGTCACACGACTCCACAATGTTCCCCCATAAATATGGCGAACAGCATTTTCCTCTCGATTTAGCGAAAGAATTGACCAGCCCAGTTTAGCGAGAAATTTAGTGTCACGTGACTTTATGGTGCCACGTGAGGTCACAAGGTAGCTGCGTGCAGCAGTGCGCAGCAACTTGAGTTGTCCTCCTATGTAGCCGGAAATACGCAGCGAGGCGAAATGCAACAGCGCTGCCTTGAGGCAGTTCAGCGGATAGGGCTTATACCTTCGATCTCGTTGCGTGTTTCCTGGGCGGCCTTCAGAGGCCGCTTCTTGGTGCTCGTGTATCGCTGCCCGTTCTTCTTCATCTTGGTTTCGTAGACGCTCTCGTAGGCTTTGACCACGGGCTTGCCGTAGCGCATCTTCCTCGGGTCATCTGAGCTCATGTGGGCCTCGTAGTTCACCACCTGCACGCGCGTTGTTTTTTCCTTTTGTTTATATATTTCACTCCGCAGAAGTCGTTAAACCTAACCTAAGGAGTGCGAGGATCGCGACTCCTCGCCACGTCCCGCCCGTCCACACACACACACAGAGACACTGCTCTCTTCAGTCCGGTACCTCCCCCTCCCCTATTTCCCGTTCCACCAGCCATGAACGTCCCTATCCCCATGATTCCTAGTGTCCTTGCTACATACTTTGTCGTTGCCACATGCTGCTTAGACCCTACATTAGTTCATCGTTTTGTAAGCAACAGCCTAAAGCAGCGGTGACCGTAAGACATATGCAAAGAGCCACAAAAAAAGATCTATTTTAAGTAAAAAGCCGCCACAAAAAAAAAAAGTGCATGTTTTTCTTTTTCTAAATTTTTGTTGGTGACCACGGTGCGTCTCATAAGGCCTCCTCATTAAGTTTCCATGCTGTGCGTTCCTATTCGTTAAAGAAGCCCCATGTCCGATCTACAGTGCTCACCGAACTTAAACGAAACACTAGAACTGGGCCTTTCCTCGTGGGATTGCGCTCCTTGTGGCAGCCGAGCAATGATTTCCTGACGTAGAGCCACTCAACAAACCATCCCTACGTGCTACACATGAAGGAACCATTGTTCAGCTTCCTCCAGGAAAACGAGCTGCCATGGGAAGACACATAGTTGGCGTGTTCCATATATACGTTTGGGGAGCACTGTATATCCTACGCATGGTGGCACAAGGCTGTGAAAAACACAAGCTGCCCTTTTTTATTTTTATTTTATTCAGATTTTTTTTTTTTTTTTTCGGGGGGGTTGGTTTACCACAGAGCCGCGAGTCGCACTCGTACCCGCGAAAAGCGGCAGTTTGGTCCCCGCTGCACTAAAGGTTGATTAATTAAAGCATTTGCGTTGAACTGCGATCGAGTCCGTTGTGCCAACACCATTTGCAGGACGCGCTGTCGAAGACGCTGAGGCAAGCCAGGCGACGCTGCTGGAATCCACTAGCGATGCTGATGACTTTTGGGGGAAAAGTCGCGCTCCTTGCCTTCTATGTGCTACTGGTTGTGCTCCCTGGTACCCTTTTGCGACGAGACAACACAAGGGTACACTAGCGCCATCTATCGAGCAGCCCCGGAAACCCTCCCAACCCGTGTTAATATAATATATATATTTTACTAGTCTTGTGCGAATAGGGGATTTTGAGTTCGATGCGAATTCGAAGCGAGTAGTGGTTTCGGACGAATATTTTCGATTCAAATATCGAATAGTTTTCCCGCGCCTTTCACTACCATAGCATAACGCTTAGACGAAATCTCAGCTAAACTTGTGTAGGTTGTTCCACTTGATGATTTATAAGCTAAGTTTAATCTATCTATATTTATTAACTGTGAGCTCAGAAGGTCCGATGTCATGGGATGGAAAATAAACGACGGATTTGACATAAAATGAATCCTACAGAGATGGCCAACTATACCCAATTGAAATTTACAAATCTTGCTATATCATATATTCTTTTTTTAATCTCGAGTTAAAAAAAGGAAGAATCGTGCATGCTGAACGCAGGTTGTAAGGGCACCTCTGCCTAACATAGTATACTCTTGCATAACAGTCAGTTTAATTTTGAAACTTTTACTAGAATGTAGATATACACATTCACAAAGTTTCCATTTATTTTAATATACAACCAGCACGCGTGCACCATCCCGCTTTAAATGTAGGTTGTTTTTTTTTTCTTTTTTTTTTTCTTTTTTTTTTTCAAGCACGCAATTGCGATATTTATACTTTTCCAAGTGTTTATCGCGGCGGGTTACCCCTTTGAGTGCGCTTCCTACCAAGTACCCATGTAATGCAGGGAAGCAACATTCGCGGAGCTCACTTCCGCGGGTATTTCTTCTCCACAGTGCAACGGTGCTCGGTAAGAAGCGCACTTAACGGAGCTAACCCGCCGCCATCAAGACTTCAAAAAACGCGAATTAAGCAGCTCTTCTCGAAGCGAATATCGACTAGTGTATTATTCGAAACTACTATTCGAAATTTCGAATATTCGCGCAACCCTAATTTTTACAATCTTTTACGGCTGATTCCTCAACCGCGAGCTCGAAATAATTCTGCCAAAGTTATAAGCAATCAATTTCTCGTAGATAGCGCGTAAACCCAATCTCGCAAACACCGAAAAAAAAATTCGGTCTATATTTACACGCAGATCGTAACTGTTTCCAGAGATTCCCGATAGATGGCACCAACGTTCCGGCACGTTCTCTGGTGCCTTTTTGTGGAAAGCGGTCACAAGCCGTCGCAAAGCGGTCCATCACGCTAAAAAGCAAACGTGTGATTCAGCCTCAAAGCCGCAACCCACAAACACTGTCTGACATTCCGGTTCTGCCGGGGTGGTAGGAGGGAAACCACTGGCTTAGAAGGGCAGGAGGAATCATATGTTTGTCTTTTTAGACTTAGGCTAGGTGGCGCAAGCTGCCGCCTGTTACAAAGGGTATATATAGCCCGTAACATCCATCCACCCATCTATCCGTCCTGTCCCACTGGTACTATACAAAAACTATCTGCGAAGAGACAGACATGTTCCAAGCATACATACGTAGGAATCTTTCGTGTCGTGTATAAGCGGCGTGACTCCGGCTTAAAACAAACGCGGCAGCCGTTGGCTCGCAGCTCACCTTGAGTTTCGCGACTCCCGTGGACAACGGCCCACCAAAGTTTAGGCTGCTGCCGTAGTCGAACGGGTTGTGCCCCGTGAACTCTGCCCCGGGACCGTCCGGCTTTGGGAGCTCGACGACGCTCTCGGTGCCCCGACTCGCCGCCGGTCCCAGGGGAAAGGCAAAGCCGCCGCCACCGCCTTGCGGCCGCGTGAGCGGCGGAAAGCTAATGAAGGACGAGTAGGGACTCTTGCGTGGAATGCCGGACGCCAAGGACACGATGCACCATAACAAAGCAACCTGCGAGAGAGGAACACTCGTTCGGTCAAACCGGCAACATTTTTTTTTCGTTTCTAATACGTGCGAACTGACGTACGTGCATGCAGGAAACGAAAGGCCATGTCTCAGCACAATCACCTGACGCACGAATACTTTGTCGGGTGTATTTATTCGTCTTTTGTCACTAAGTCCCTTAGTCCTACGACTACTATAGACGTTTGCAAGTAGCCGCGCTTCGAGAGCTATATATAATCTGTCGGCCGCGGATGGAAAACGCTTCTGTTTGGGCGCCAGTCTAGATGCCGTAAGTACGCCTCAGCAACGCTCGACTATCACACGATCTACCCAGACCAGCAGCAAGATGGCGTCGCCCAGAGGCCGTATACTTGCAAACCTCTATAGCACTTTACAGTTTAAGTGCAGGGCGTGGGCGAATCCTGAACATCTCATTATCCACCCGCAGCCAATAAGATTGAGGCATTAACAGATAAAAAAATGCCGACGAACCAACCACGAAACGAGAACACACAAGCCACGCCCTATTTTTTTTTCTTTTTTTTTTACGCTGTCGGTGATTACGGTAGTTGCTAATAGAAGGCGCTATACCCGCCTCCACCTCAAAAACCATAGTGGATAAAAAAAAAAATACTAATTTTACCCCTTCATGTAGAGAAAATTAAGATTTACATGCAGGTGATTTTTAGATTCGATATACGTCAACTTTCAAGAAAAACACGTTCCAAACGTCAAAAAATCGTCGCGCTTTTTTCCTCCGACAATCAAATATCGTAAGAACTACTTCACGCCGCGTATGAACAATGCGCAAAACTTTTTTTTTCCTTGGGGTGAAAGCGGGTATATAAACAAAATGCAATGCACACCACAGTCAAGTTCTCTCTCTGAAGCCGTCGTCACCCTGCTTAAAGGGACCATGAAATGACCTTTTTACTTTTTCCAGATAACTTTTACATTAAACCGTCAATGTTCACTGAATGCCGAACAAGCATCCGTTTTCGTCTCGGTTTATTAACTTTTACACAAAAAATTATTGAAATATCGACTTTTTCATTCTCTCCAACTGACCGCAAAAGAAGCCGTGACGTAGACCGTTTCCGGAACCGGAAGTTCTCTCGGCAGTAGGAGAATGGGAGTGTTAGCGGCAACGAGTTGGGGTGCGCCGGTAGGTTTTACTGCGCTGATGTCACCGACGTATTTCCTGAATCGGCGCCTCATCGCCGCATCGCAGCTGAGCGAAATTCAATGAGATATGTTGCGCTACAGCGACAGCATGGGACTAGTCCCATACGCCGGTATGCCTGTTGGGAAGTGCAGCGAGTCTTGTCACCACCCCGTCATTGTTGGCAGAAGGGCCGGCCCGTGTCAGTCGTTTGCAAAGCGACGTAGATGGCGTTTTTCGCGGCCTCGGAGATGCAGGAGCGAGCCGACGTTAAAAAAGATACGTTTGAACTACGAGTGTCAGCAAGAGCCACGTAAATACCTGTTTACACTCGGAGCGGACGCGCGCGCTTGATGGAAGTCTTGTATTCGCGCTGTTGGTAAGCGCTTCGGGACCGTTCTTTTACGATTGCAACTCGATACTGACGCGACACTCGGCAAAGAAAGGTTGGACCGGGGTCGACAGTGACGTGCAGTCTGTCAGAATAAAAATGGCATACCAATAACAAAGTGTACATACCGTGTTACGAAGGCAATCCATACGGCGTTTATTTCAGCTCTATATCACACAAAACAAGAAGATAGAATCGACGAGAGTCCCTTTTCGACGAGTGTTCGTCAACACTGCCTCGGAAAACAAGGGGAAGAGATTGACCTCCTCACCTCTTAATCTAGAATTGAGGTCAGTGATCAAACTATAATACGGGAAGGGTCCACAAGGGTCGCGCGGGCATATTCCATTTAGCACGCCAGCCGGTCGTAGGCAGACGGTCTTGCGACGAAGCAACGCAGCGCCGAGTCGGAATGCCTGCTAGGCCTATACGCTTCGTCGGAGTCGGTGAATCCAGCGTTCTTGTTCGTCGTGGTCTGTTTTAAGTACTGTTTTCTTGCTGCTTGAAGTCGGCACGCGCGGGAAGAACACGTAGAAAAATAAACGTTCAGTCAGTCAGAGTTTTGAGAGGAAGGAAAACAAAGAAAATATATGTTCGTCGGTCGCCGTCACCCAAGTAACTGGCGGCCCTGCCCTACTGCGCACGCGCAGTAGTTGCTTCGTTTACCACACGATAGATGGCGCTTGGCTCTCAGCATTATCAAATTTGGCAATTTTCGCCACACATCTCTAATTATGCTACAAAATGTGGATCTGAATATTATTTAACAAAACTTTTAGGAAACATTCGCCGGCTATTTATTGTTTACGATCGCGGTGCTGGTGAGGTAGGCTCTTACCCAATAGGCGATGTGGATTCGGCTGACGTGCACCGATTCTGCGTATGCATCGTAGTGAACAGGCGAAGGAAGGAAGGCGCAAAAGAGTCCAGTTTTCTTTTAAAAGTTCTATAGCAAATAATTTTTTTGGGCTCCCTATTTTTGTGTTTTTGTGTTTCTTTTCACACCTTTTACGACGTGCGGTGGATGAAACTCGATTTTAAAATCATTTCATGGTCCCTTTAAGAGTAGCCTACATACATTCTCCGAGGCGTGCTTCTTCCCTTGTGTGACACTCCTGTTCACATCTGTCGTACAAAAACTGTCCGGTGAGGCGTGCTTCCTTCCTCGTGTGACACTCCTGTTACATCCGTCGTAAAAAAAACTGCCTGCAGAAACATTCAAGGCACACAAAAAGGGAAGTCACAACGAGCTTCCAAGATTTGCTTAACGCGCGTCCCCGCAGACACCTCTGTCATCGTGTCTGTAGCGAGAGAACCGTGTCTTTTCGTGTGACGTAACGAGAAGTGCGACGACATGCGCTCGAAACGTTAATTCGTCACACCCGCGGTGGATGTCATAACAATGTGGCAAGAACCGAAAGTTGAACAACACCAGAATTCCAGTCCCCGTTTCCAGCACTATATCATCCTTTGTCCAACAACTCGTGAAAGAAAGAAAAAAAAAATGTTAAAAAAAGATCGAGACAAGAGCATCCTTTTCGTCCGTCTCGTGGCCTCTTTAGAAGCCGCCCGGTTCCTCCGCTCTTTTCACGAGGATTTCACACACATTTCCAGGACGTGCCCTAGACGCTTATTATGACTCCTTTTTCGTTTGCTCCTTGACCACAATTTACTCTTTTTTTCAAAAGTGCGCCCATTCTATAGCAGCTGCTGCGCCCGCTATTCGAGCCCGCCATTGTTTGAGTACGTACTCTGAGCGTGTATTGGACACCAGGGCTGCATCAAGCATTGGGCGTAAACATCTGCCATCTCGTATTGAGAACGAGTGCTGCGACCAGCCGCCGGACAGAGGCGCACCGGACAAAAGCTCACCGGGCAAAAGCTCGTCGCACAAAGCTCACCAGATCTTTCGCAGACCCGGACAAAAGCTCACCGCTCTTACTCGTGAACCCGCCGATAAAAATTGCTCGCTTTTCTACATGAGCTCCAATAACGTGACAAATTAAGCGCACATTCTATGAAAAAGCATGTCTGACTCGCGCAAGGTGAGTTTCTTGTTTAAGAAAAGGATGTTTATTGCTCGAATCTTTAAAGGTGAATGCATTCTCCCACTGCCTCCGGCAGTTTCGGCGTGTCTCTGCGAAGCTCATCGTCAACACGCAGCTTCCTCGGGCGGAGACGCTGCCTTGCTCGCAGAAAAGCTATCGTGACCAACGCTTGATCCTGTTGAGGACATTCGATTAGCATCCGGGAACTCGGGTGATCTTGTCTCCACGAGTTCGTGGAACGCGTTGTTAAACCTTTCACGCGAGTTATTGGTCCTGTCCTCGTCCCTTAACCGTGGCCTCGTGCCCATTCCACACCTCCGGAGAAAATTCCAGTCGTCGTCTGAGCACGATCATCCTGCGTGGTCCTCTCCTAGGAAGAATACCGGCACAACCTCTAAACTTTTTACCTCGTTTTTTAGTCAGCCGGGTTCAATAAATACACTTTTTCGGAGGGCTGTTGACGTAACCCCTTTTAGCCCAGAGTTCAGCACAGCCCACTTTACACCAACTAAACTTGCGTCAGGCTCATCACAAAAAATGTGAGCTTCTGTCCGGGTTCGCCAACAAATTAGTAAACTTTCGTCCGGGTCCGCAAACAAAACAAAAAAACATAGGTGAGCTTTTGTCCGGTGAGCTTCTGTCTGGTTACCACTCCTACAGCGTTCGGAAGAAACCGGAGCGCCCCTAGCGGCACGACACTGGTGCCGCGCATGCGCGATGGGGTGTGGGCAAGAAGCGCCGCGTCCCGCATCATGAAACCATTGGAATGTGATGTTGTCGGTGTCAGTGTGAGTCCCCGCGCTCTTTTTCGCGTTGGATTAAACCTTTCCAGAAATATGTGGCGCCCCCAACGTCAGCTTTACGCATTGTGCCGTTTGGATATACGGCACTTACTTCTTATCGCAACGTTTGGTCTACTGGCCGCTGTCGTATGAACGAGCAGACGGCAGTTTGAACGAGTCCGTAAAAGCAGACGACAGCTCGAACGATCCGATCGCCGCTTGAACGTGAAGTCGCACTGAAAGGGGTCCGCGGGTGGTTCGGACAACTTGACGGTTTTCCCGCGTTTATCTTGGAACAAAACAAATAAATCTCACGACCACAAGTATCTGTGAATAAAGTGCTTCCCACACAAGCAATCGTGGTCCAACGGTGTCTGGTTTTTCACTTTTCACGGCACCTATCTATAAGCTCTCGGACGAACCGAACAGGCAGAAAGCACATGAAAACCGATCGTCACACCTATCCCAGCTCGTTTGATATACAGCCCCGGCCGAGGCGTTTTGACGAGAAGCCTTGCATTCCAGTTGCTATAATTTCGAGTGGTACCAGAATAGTTTATGTTCGTTCGATCAAGGCGGGTAGTTGTGAAACAAACTATGAACGACAAAACCTGTCGTCCTGT